CGTGGCAGCTAGTGCAAATATCCTTCCACTTATGAGGCAACCTGTAGCGACGTGGACTTTAGATTGGCTGTAAAGAAAAAAGGTCATACGAACCTAGAAACGAGTTTGAATCTAGACAGACGGCAGTGTGTTAGCCGTACGGATAAAAAAGGCGACGCACCGGCAGTGTGTATATTTCCACGAACCATGTTATGATAAAATTTTTAAAGTGTTGTTCAAAATATCAAAATCTGTAACTACCTCAAAAACACTACTTTTATTTGTAGACCCTGCAATAGCTTAAACTCTACAGAAATATTTTAAAGATTTAACAAGGTTGTGGTTTAATTTATTCCTTAAAAAAATTCCATTGATTTTTTTTTATTCCGGTTAAACTATAGTACGACTACAAATACCTACTAACTAACTATAATTAAATTATGCTACTTTGAACTTATTACATATTAATTGGCCAAGTACGCGTTGAGTAAGTAAGACAGGGTTTTGTTTACTGATGCAATGATAAGTTTAATCAAATAAACATAGTGATGGATTTATAATAAGTAATAACGCACACTAGCCTAGGATCACCGCGGAGAGGGTATTAGTTAATAAACTTCCGATAAAATATTATATGTTTTATCACGGAAAAAAGCCCATTCTAGCAGTCAATTAGAGTAGGAATTATTTTATGGCTATTATAAATGCACTCAATGCATTTAAATTTCATTAATTGTGAAAAATAATTTCCCGGATATCTATCTATCTATATAGCTATATCTATTAGTCAATTATTATGGCATTTTTACAATGAATTTTAAATTTTTAACTATTTTACTTTAAATAAAAAAAAAACGATATAATTTGTAAAACTAGGACACTATTTGCCATAAATACCTAGGGCACCAACAAGTTAAATCCCGCGCTGCATAAACATTACAAAGTAAACCGGACCGGCAACGTGAAGGCGACTACTATAGTCGCCAAGCTCTTTTTTTTGCCCCCAAAGCAAATAAGGGCAACCCTCCGGTAACGGGGGCGGGAGTTGGCGAATGCTCATAGCATACCACGCAGCCGGCTGCGTGGTTATGTGGAGACTTTTACCCACTAAACACCACCTTTTGGGATTGGCTTAACGATCTGACGAGAGATCTTTAAGCCGTAAGCGGACGCGACCCTCCTTGGGAGAAAGGAGGGCGCAACCGGGGAGTAGCCGCATAGAAGTGTGCCTAAGGCAGATTACGAAATGTGTTTAGTAGGCTCGGCTTGAGCCGCCAGGGGGCAGTTCAAGTCAGCCGAAAGCTTGTTGGGGGGGGGGGGGGTCCGAGAGAGAGTTTCTCGGCCTGCGCAACACTATAGCGAGTACGAAGAGTGGCTGCGAAGGCAGCTGCCTCGCAAATGAGGCGATTTCAGTGGGACTCTGAGGCTTTGAAGAATCTCTCAGAGAGTGATATGAGGAATTGTTGAATTGTTGTGAGCTCTAAGTCTCGGGGGAGGTCGGCGTTACGGACATAATAGGGTGTGTTCGTAGCCCGACGACTGAAGAGATTAGTGCCAAGCTCTCTGCTAAGCCAACTGTGAACGTTAATCCGCCTCAAAGGCGTGACTATTAAGACGAATTCGAATATTATACATTTAAATATAATCGAACTGTCTGTCCGTAATATCTAAATAATTGCGTTTTATTGAGCTGTGGGGGTTATCTACGTGTCATTATGACGTGAATAACCATTGTTAACATTTTTCTGTCTGCCTGTCTAATTGTTTGTCTGTCCGGGCTAATCTTCAGAATGGCTGAAACGATTGTAATAAAATTTTGAAACTTGACGAGCAGATAGAGAGCAATGCCAGGAGTGATCAAGGTTATATTTTATCCGGAAAACTTGGGAGTTTCCTTAAATCGAAAAATTGATAAAATAAATGGTGTTTGATGATAGTGTTAAATCTAAATCGCTCCACATTAATAGATCCTACCCAGGCGAGACCGGGGCGGGTTGCTAGTTAATCCTAGAACTTTTCGTCGTTTTCTCTGGATTATCTAGTTGCAGAGAAAGTTACAGTTACATACATACATAAACATTCACGCCTGTCACCCAGAGGGGTAGGCAGAGACTACAGACTTCCATTTGGCACGATCCTGACACACCTCTCTAGCCTCCTTCACATCCATACACCTACGCATACATGCTTGTCGGTTAAGGGTACTCCTAATTTGGCCCGTTTTCAATAAATCGCCAATTTGGTCGATAAATTTTCGCCTAGGACGTCCCTTTCCGACTCTGCCATTCACTTCTGCAACATAAATTTTCTTTGTCACTCTTTCCTCATTCATTCTTTCCACATGACCAAACCACCGAAGCATTCCATTCTTAATCCTGGTCATAACATCATCTTGCAGACCACACTCTTCTCTTATTATACAATTTCTTACCCTGTCATTCAGATTCAGCCCTAACACATTTCTACTGCGTTCATTCTACTCACGTGCTTCTTATGCCACACCCAACTTTCACTACCATACGTTAAAGTAGGGACAAACACAGCATTGTGAATTGCCATACGCGCCTTTTTTGACACATTTTGACTCTTCACAATAGAGTGTAGGGCCTCATTTATTCTATTTCCTGCATTCACTCGTTGTTCCATCACATCTCTCATCCCTGCTAAATACGCAACCCAGATATACAAACTCATCTACTTGCTCGATCAACTCTTCTCTTTCCAAAAACCATAACTTTCGTCTTACTTGCGTTCACTTTCATACCCCTTTCTTTTAATGATCTGTTCATTAATGTAACCATCATTTGCAGCTCGGCCGCCGACGACGCAAGAATAACTTGATCATCGGCGTACAAAAGGCATTTGACGGTTAACTTACCCATTCTTAATCCGCATTCTTCAACTTTCAAATTTTGCAAACAACTGTCCATAAATAGGTTGAACAGCCACGGGGAAGCCACACATCCCAGTCTGATACCTTTATGGATGCCAAACCAGTCAGAGTAGACCCCGTTGATCCTAACACAAGCACTAGATTCCCTATAAAACGACTACAATGCCTGTATCAAGCCAGCGTTCAACCCAAATGAATTCAGTGTTTGCCATAGCATCTATCCACTCTGTCATAGGCCTTCTTCAAGTCCATGAACGCACAAAAAACCTTTTGGTTTTTGGCCAAAAACTTTTCCGCGATCATGCGCATGGAAAAGACTTGATCTGTACATCCCATTCCCTTTCTAAATCCTGCTTGCACATCCCAAATTTTTTCATCAGTTTCTTTCATGACCCTTTCAATCAGTACCTTAGCATACAGTTTTCCCACAATGCTAAGAAGGCTGATACCACGGTAGTTTTTACAGCCCTGCTGTGACCGTTTTCCTTTATATACTGAGACTATCACGGCTTTGCACCAGTCTACCGGTACCCGCTTCAGTTCCCAGCATAAATTAAACAAGGTGTGCAGCAGGCCTGCCACCACTTCCTCTCCAGCCCTTAGCATTTCGAGTGAAACTCTATCATATCCGGCAGCCTTACCTGCTTTCATGCTTTTCATTGCTTTCATTATTTCATCTATACTTATCTCGCTACCTCTTTTCTCTTCTTTCGGAGTTTCTTTTTTGTGTGAAAGTTACAGTTACTTTTTTGTGAACAGAGTGGTAAAAAATTACATAATACTTATTGAAAATAATTTTTTATTTACCACTGGTTCGAAAAATACCTCCGTCCTGGGAAGAATCAGGAGGAAACCCAGTGGGTATTTTTTTAAAATATATTTCGTTTTACAACAATTTTGTAATTTTTTTTTAAATGAATTGTAGTAGAACCGGCATGGTGGCGATTACCGCATTCCCAGGGGTTATTTTCATTTATGCGTTCTTTGATATTATAATAACCGTTTTTGTACAAATTTTCTTTAACAAAACGTTTGTATTGAATCACTTGGACACGTTTGTAAGAAAATTTATGAAAGTATAATTTAATTACTCAGGAATAGGACCTTTAATTTCACTCTTCCCGGCTTACAAGTAATTATGCAAAAGAAACTGCCAGCGCCGTCGTCAACTTAACGCAAAGTAATAATTCAGGAACAAGAGCCGGCAGACGCTAGTGATGGACATTTATTTCAATGTCATGAAAATTCAAATGGATTTTTTTTTATTTCTCATTACTTGCTTCTTTCGTTTTTAAGAGGGCATATGCGTTTCGCGTCGAAAACTACATGTTTTATGGTTTTTCCAAAGGCGATATCGTAACGACGTGAAGAGATTATTTGCTGAAAATTAGGACTTTAGAAAGATGAAGTATTTATTTAGTACATAGCAGTGCAAAATCATAGTTTTTAATGACGGTTTTTTAGGGCGAAGACAATCCCTTCACAGTGTTTTACGAAAATATGCATCAGAGTTATCTTTCAGGTTGAATACAACCATTATTATAAGCTAAAATACTTTATTTTAAGCGTTATTATAATGAAATATATAGTCTTTTAAGGTATAGCAAAACCTAAATTACGAAAATATTTCGATTTAATATTATAAAATAATATTATAAAATCACCAAAACTGTCTACTTCAATGCAATTTTTTCCATGTATTTGCTTATAAACATATCTATTTTAATTATTTTATCAAAATACATGTAATGTTAAATATCCAAAAAAAATTTTAGCTCGTTTTATTTTGTCAATTATTTTATATAATTATTTTAAAAATACTATAAAACATCATGCGCAGACCCCGTTTGATTCAGTACGCTCCGGGTAATCCCAACGACAGGACGTATTACTTTTTTTCACCGACACCGCGCGATCGCATTGATACACCGATAGGGCTATACTACGCCATACATATAACTAGCTACCTATAGCAACATCGAGGCATCGAGCATTACGATTTACGATTGAGACTTTTATAAGAGATAGTTTTGGTAGTAAGTAATTTTGAAATATGTTTATGGTAATGGTAATGATATTAAATTATGTAATAGTGGCAAATTTACATTTCATACATATTTTTTTAGAAATGGGTAATAAGCGTAAGCAATTCGGATCTAGTAAAAATACAACATCTTTGGCTTTAACCAGGCAAATAAAAAGGTAAGTTACTAATTTATGAAAAGTAAAGTTTTTTATTAGGTGACAATATTGTATTGTCTTTTCTATTGCGATTGCCTTATCTAATAGGCTTATTTCGTTTTAATTTTTAGACCACTACAGTTATGTTACTTATTTATTTAATTCTTTTAGACAAAAAAAAATTCATTTTGAAGAACAGTCGCGTAAATCTAAAGATGCATCAAACTATGATGATACAAGTCGGGTAAGTAATTAAGTTAGTATAACTACACTATAATAATTTATCAAATTAATTATTTTTTTGCCTGACTTTGTTACTAGAGACAAATGACAATAATTGCAAACTTTCAGCAACGTAACATCTGATACAATCAAGGTAGCCCTAAAAATAAATAATCGATATAGTTATAGTTTGGAAACTATAAAAAGCTGTTATTTAGATAATAAGAAAATACTGCCGCAAATATACGTATCTATTACTACGTGTTATTTATTATGAGGTTACTTCTAATGATGTGATATTACGCACTATATTTTGTCATGAATTATTTAGTAAAATATTTAGTAAAAATGAAATATAAGATTCATAATACAATAATAAGAAAGATAATAATTAATTGAATTCACCGCCCTAAACCTACATGTTGTTCTAGGATATCTTTTCATCTTTAGAAAGTCTCGATGAATCAAAAAGCACTGGAATTCAAAGTACTGTAGCGGAAAAAGAAGATATTAGCGAATTCGAAATTGTAAGTGTCATTTGTTATTAATAATGTTTGACAACAATTCAAACATTATTATTGAGAACGTTAATATTAACTACTTATATAAATAATATAATATAGTCTGTTCACTTAGATATAGTCGCCACGAAGATTTGACATTATAAAACGAAACGCAGTAGTGTAAGGTTGTTTTGTTGACTCTGCTACGTATACAGAAAACGTTTTTTCGTCCTTGGGAGGACAATGAAGTGCCTCAAGATGAAATTTTGAGTGAACCAATTACAAAAATACTATTTAGTATGGAACGTTATGACATTGAATGCTTTATTATAAATACCGGTAGCAATGACTTCGACACTTCCAGTGATGAAGAATAAATCTATTTTACCTACTTACTCATATTTTTCATTTAAATTCTCTTTACTACTCAACTTATGTTTATTATTTATATTTTATCACAATAACCATAAGAATAAAATAGAATACCATTTTATTCTTAGAACAGATAAAAATGTATTTAAAAAACACAGCAAAAATAATAAAATAAGAGCAAAATATTAAGTGCGCCTGTACCACCGACACTATCTTAGTTAGTGAACAGACTATACGGTTATCTTTTTTCCTTTCCTAAGCCTTCAGTGTATAACCTATATTTGTTTTAGACTACGGAGCCAAATATTTCAACCTGTCAATCATTCCAAATTGAAGGTCGAAGGATAGTCGACTTTAATTACTTTTATGACCAAATGAAAACACTATCTGATCATAATCCGGGCCTAGGTTGTACAATAAGCAACATTCAAATTATAAGAGAGAAACTTATTGGTTTACAGTCTAGTATTTACTTTCAATGTAACATGTGCAACCGGAAATTTAAAATAAATTTGTGTGAAAATTTACCCGATGATCGTATGACCATAAATCATGCTGCGGTCACTGGCGCTATGCTGATTGGCTGTGGACGCACTAATTTAAATGAGTTGTTCACTGCTGTTGATTTACCAAACTTAAATCAAAAAACCTACAATAAGTGTCATAGTGACGTTTCCAGTTGGTGGGAAGTTGCTTCAAAGACCAGTATGAAAGAGGCAGCTAAAGAAGAATGTGAGCTCGCTACTGAAAGTGGAGATATTATTGACGGAATTCCTGCGATCACAGTTGTGGCTGATGCGTGCTGGTCTAAAAGGTCTTATGGAAATAATTATGCTGCAGCATCGGGTTCAGCCGCAATTATTGGATTTAAAACGGGGAAAGTCTTATTTATGGAGGTAAAAAATAAGTATTGTGTTGTATGCGGCCGATCGGTTTTAAAAAAGCAGACGATACCCCTCCATAATTGCACTAGAAATCACGTAGGATCATCCACCAGCATGGAACAAACAAGCATAGTCGAAGGATTTAAAACTTCAGTAACCACCCATAACTTAATATATAAAACACTTATAGCAGATGGGGATGCAAGCACTTACAAAAAAATTTTAGATAGCAGGCCATATCCAAATGTGCATGTAGAAAAAGTTGAATGTTCAAACCACCTGCTTAGAAACTATATTAGTAAAATTATGCAGCTGCAAAAGGATACATCTATCCCACTTTCTGAAAGAAAACTGCTAACATTAGAACGAATCACTCGACTTCGTATAGCCGTAAGAGCTGCAGCTCGCTTTCGCAATGCTCAGAACACGAGCAGTTCCGATAAAATTATAAAATTAAAAGATGACATAATAAACAGCCCAAAGCATATTTTGGGCGATCATAGTGCCTGTGAAGACTATTATTGTACAGATGAAAAGAAAAAAGAGCAAAATCTGGTTCCCTTGGCGAAAACGCTCTTTAGAAAACTAATGGTTCACACAATACAAATAGCACTAAACTCAAAAAGCTTGCTTTACAACGTCAACAATAATCGAGCCGAACAATTCAACAGTATTATTGCTAAACATGTAGGTGGCAAACGTGTTAATTTTTCGTTGAAAAATTCTTATACAGCCAGATGTCATGCTGCAGTTGTAGCATTCAATACTGGCAAAGCGCAATACAATTTGTACAAAGCAAACTTTGAAAAAAGCCCCAGTAAATCAATTAAGCTGCTGGAGTTAAGACGTAGCAAGTGTAACCAAAACCGTAGTCATCGATCAGGCTCCAAAAAAAAACTCGTCTTTCCGAATGATAGGAACGACTACGGAGAGAGATGTCAAAAACCAGATTTAACGCCGGAACAGTATGAAACTGCAAGAAATTTGTTTTTGCAAAACTTGAAAAGTCTAGTAGAAAATCGGTATGAGGTAGAACGAGACACTGTTTTACAAGCTGAAAGCGCATTATGGTTGGAGCTACGAAGAGGTCTGCTAACAGCCTCAACTTTTAGCAAGGTACGTTAAACGAAAATTGTCCTTTACAGATTTATGTTGATATATTTCACACGAATTACTTTTTTAGGTTTGTAAAAGGCGATGTAATATCAACTCAGCACCACTTGTGAAGTCTCTCGTCTATTCATATTCTTTGAACGGCGTGCCATCAATAGAATACGGAAAGACTAATGAAACAATCGCTATCAAGCAGTTAGAGCAGCAAGAAGGTATCGTCGTACAAAAATGTGGACTTTTCATCGATCAAAACTATTTTTTCTTGGGAGCATCTCCAGATTGTCTGTTTGATGAAGGGATTGTCGAAATAAAATGTCCATATTCGGCGCGTAACATGGATGCTGAACAGGCCATTTTACAAAAAAAAATTAACTTTTGGAAAATTGATGGGTCAATTAATACCAACCATGATTGGTACTTTCAAATCCAAGGCCAGCTCCACATCAGGTGCGAATCACTATCACTATATTTATCTTTATGGTCAACCCTGTATATTCTTATAATCTTTCAGAGTGAATCTCACGTCCATAGTAACAACATGACATTGATAGCGCATTTATATTGTCAGTAAGCTTCCGTAGTTCATGTGTAACCATTCACGTGCAGTTGACCGTATATACGAGTATATGTTCGAATTTACTTTGATATTATACAAATAAGATAATATTATTTATTTTCAGTCAAAAAAATGTCTGTCTGCTTGCGGTGTGGACAGGACAAGAATTCCCTTTAAAGACCACAAAAATTACTAGAAACGACGTGTTTTGGACGACAAAAATGGAACGTAAATTATTAAACTTTTACGAAAAATGTCTTTTGCCTGAAATGATTGACCCCAGAAGGAGTCGGTCAATGTCAATAAGAGATGTGAGATTTTGAAATGAAATACTAGCTTCACCTTGGTTTTTATTGTTAACAATAAAATTATTTTACTGTCCCGATTTTAAAACCAAATTCTCGATTATTTTTACCATATGTCCTGAAATTTGACGCACTGGACCTGGCCACACTAGCGTATACGAATGATAGCGTAAACCATAATGATATTGTTTATTTTTTAATTATTTTATGCGTTTATTTACCGATACAGCCTACAGAGAGATAGAACAGATAACGTTATGATTAAACAAAAACATAAAAAATATATGAGCCGTGCTTGAGTCAAATAAACTTGAGTTGAGTAGCTCAAGGGCGAAGTGCTCGCCATAAACGTGAGCAATCCGGGTTCGATCCCCGCCGACACTAATGAAATTGTTAGTTTAATGAATTATGTTTACATTATGAAACAGAATAAAAGTTTATCAAATGATATAAATTTTATATAATACATATTTTTCAATTAGAGCATATAATATACTCAGTAGGGTGAAAATGTGAAGCCGACATAAATTTACTAAAGGAATAAAATAATTTATACATATTAGCCTCCGATTTCTATACACTTCATAAGCCATTATCTGGAAAATATTATTTTATTCTATTAGTTCCAATAGTATCAAAATGATTCGTGGAACGAAGGGCAACTAGCCTCGCGCTCGCTCTGACACGCACACAGAGATAACATTGTAGTGTGCGTCAATATTACGCCGTTCCAAAGCGATCGCGTAGATTTCGACTTGGACATATTTGAATATGCGCTCTTAACAGAAATTTTATCACATGTCATACATACATATTAGTTTAATTTGCTTTTTATATCAAATCTGATGTAATTTTTTTTCAGTGTCTATACCCGATAACCCCAAAAGGAGGGTAATGTTTTTTGTAAGTATGTATGTCTATTTCTTTGGAACTTTCCGTAGCCTAAACGATTTAATAGATTTTAACATAATATTTTATATTAGATTCGTCGTCATTGTAGGTAGTGACACAGGGTATAAAATAATTATATTTTTGGTAAAGTAGTTATTTTTATAATTACTGTTTTAAAAAACATTATGCTAGTTTACTTGCATTTCTAAGAAATATTTCAAGGACTTGTGAAGTATATCAAATATATAGCGCGGCATATTCATAGAGCAATGAACCCCTAAAATTGAGATGTCTGTGCTCCGCAATGGGACGTAATGTGGTCTATTATTTTGAGTTAAAAAGATCAGAGTCTACAATCCTAGTACTGTAGACAGCTACGAATGAGAAGCGAATTTAAGTGTATACTCTATTCTATATTTATGTGTATATTCTATTGTAACTGGTTGCTATTAAAAACAATCAGGCGTGAACAATATTTAAAACCACGATTTGCTGACTAACGATACGCTGTCCTGCCTATCTCTATACTAGTTATTGATTATATTATCGAGATATTATTATATGGAGATGGACTTCTTGCATTATCACTACAATTTCAAAATAAAATTTTATAACGATATTTATTACAAATAACAATGAAAGACCGAACAATGGAAGATAGGTTTAGTTAATTAAATAGATGGGAGGTAAATTTTCAACTTAGATTTCCTTGATTAAGTGCATACATGTGTCTCCTGCTATGTTTATCACATGAGTTGGGGACATGAGTTCATCCATTGTTGTTACGGTATGATGGGTACACCGAGTAGTCAGAATAAAACTAACTGTGAGCCATTTTATCTAACTCTTCTAAGTTAACTACGCATCAGTATTCTTTCTATGAGGCTGGTATCAGGTGTCAATGGTGACTTTTTATTGTTCTTCGTTGGTCCGTACATGTATAGAATAGAAGTGACAATCCGATGGTAAGCAGATACTGTGGCCCATAAACATCTACATTTATCCTCGATTAAGAATCAAATTGCAGATGCGTTGTCACCACTGCGGACTGAGATGGAATGCTTCCAGAATATATCCAGTAAAAGGGTATCCGGTCCCATGAAAACACGGCAGGATTAAGTGTTTGTGGGGTGTTTTTTTTTTTGGATTTTTTTTGTGGGTTTTTTTGTTGGGGTGGGGTTCTTCCTTTTTTTCGCTGGTATTCCGCCGTCGAGTCGACCCATCCGACAATCAATCATAATATAGATGCAAAATGACTTTACCACCTATCAATGTCACCTGCTGAACATAGTCCTCTCCTGTTGTAGTCAGGATTTGCTGTGATCTCCAAGTTCGGCAGACGGATTGACGATCGAAGCGCACATCTCGCACTTTGAACGTTGCTGTCCGCTGCCTGGGTATATAAGGTCCGACGTAAACGATTCGAATATTTGGTATATGTTAATAAATAAATATAAATATAACAGTCTAATATTCACCCCATCACTACTCGTCACCGCTGCTGTATACCCTCACGACAATTAAACTCGTTAATGGTAGTCGCACCACTTTGCGCTACGTCCGTCGGTACTCTTATTTTGCGGCTTTGTTGTAATGCTGGTGTTGAGCTCGAAAGTTCACGTCAGTTTATGATCTTTTGATTATGCACGTAATAGCATTATTTTAATTATAAGTGATTGTATGGCGTGCAAGAAATAGGGTATTTTACACCATGTAAAATAAAATCAAAAACTATATATATATTTATGATAGATTTTGTAAAAACTAAACAAGAAATATTGAGTTCTGTTTATAAAACTGCATTATAAATTTTAAATTTCCATATTAAGAATATTTTTTTCGTCTGTTCCTCAAATCTGCAATACGCTGTCGGCCATGTTAGAACATTTTGTGACGTCACTAATACAGCCTAAGGATATTAGTGTTCTGTGTCACTGATTAAGAGAACTAGCTAACGTGCTGTGTTATTTCGAAATTTTTAAGTTATAATTACGGTTATTGAGTTTTATTTTGAATTTTATTCGGAATAATACTCAATAACCGTAATTATAACTTCAGGAAGGCATCATGGACGACGAATTTGTAAAAACAGAAAGTACTAATCTACCAAGGATAAATAGATTGATGGTTGCCAATTTTATTTGCATGCAATCCCAATTTTTGTTCTGCCGACTTGTGGAATGTTAAAACATGTTAAACATCATGTAATTACCTATAACCAACATTTGTTTACTCAAAAACACAATACCAGGTCAGAGAGTATTTTGATAACACATAGTTTAGTAGCTATCGTAGTTCATTTTATCTATAATTACAATCATTAGCAATCATTAGTTATAATATCTAAGTTAACGTAATTTAAAAGATTTGACTTGCGATACCTTTCACCTCATGATGTTTTGTCTAGTATTAAATGATAGTTAAATATAAATCATACTTAACTCAAAATTATATTCATAGAAGTATAGTTTAGATTTTGTAGACAATGCCTTCGGGTTCTCTTCTTGCCAGTTTTAACCAAGTATTTCTCATAATATATAAATCAGTTGGCACTTTAATCCATAACTTTCCCGGCGTTCTTATGCTCGTTGTTTTCCATTCAGGAACAACACAATAATGATATAGATGACAACTCATTATTTAACATTAAAAAGTATATTTATTATTCCTTTGCAAAATCGGCTGAATCGATAACTGTGACTGTTATAGATTTAAAAAAAATTGTACAGTGGTTCATTGACACTCTAGGATTCACTTAAATTTTTTTTTAAAAATGGGTAAAATACTCGATTGATCCATGTGCGAATGATTGTATATTTTCAATTTATATATGTAAATCTCCTTCATACCACCGGCGAATATCCTAGTGAGGAGTGAAGTTTTTTTTAAGGAAAATATATAAAAAAATATTAAACAAACTGAACTGATGAATCAGGCGTTACTTTGCGGAAATCCATTATAATAAAAGTATTAATTAATTTGCAACCATCCGCTAATTAAACATGTCTTACCTGGATTGAAGAGCACCTCCCGCCCTCCCTCAACTGCGTGCACCAATCCCGTCACCGCTAATTCTAGCACCATTACTCCCGGCACCACTACTCCCAATACCACCATTCCAGGAAAGACACACCATCGACGATAATACATATGTAAGTAAGGGTAGATATATAGTAGTAGTAGAACTTTCTCAGAACCGGAAAAATATTTGTAGGCTAAGCAAACACTCATTTCATGCAGAACCCGAGATTACGAACAGCGCCGTGACCAAATGCTCAGGCACTACGTCACCGAGCCGCCAAATTAATTGTCATTAATGTATATTTCATTGTCATTAATGTCTAGAGGTTGTGTTTTCTTTGTCATAAATATATTGACTTAATGCTTCACATTTAGCGTTATTGTTGCATAACTATCTTCTTTGTTCGCCTGTAAGAGCCCACTGCCAGATCGGACCCTTTCTCGAAGTTTTATATTTATATAGATTAGATGCTATTATCGTTACATTAGACATATGTAGATAAGTAGCCCTAACACCAGATATCTTACACGCTACTGTTGTCACTGGCCTGCGTATTTACACTTGATATAACACGAGCCAGTTAGAAAGTTATCATCGGAGGCAAATGAGATCTATTTTTTATAGAATAAGAGTGACAAACGAGCACGCACCAAGTCTGATGGTGAGTGGATTCAGTGGCCCGTAGACATCTACATTTATCCTCTATTAAGAATCAAAATGCAGGTGCCTTGTCACCCATAATTATTTTTCTTGGCACAGGTCTAGCGATTAGGGAGGATAACGTATGGTTGCTAATTGCAGGTCTTGTAATATAAAAACGGTTTGATAAATAGGAGTTGACGAGTTCCGCCATTATTGTTCGAAGTTCTTTCCAATAGACATCCGCTGTTAGTGATACACCGGATCTGAAAAAGTCTTAGTAAATTACAACATGAAGAGACTACCAAAAGGCTACTATTACTTTGTGAGCTTCGCTTTAGGTCTCATGTAGGTTTTATATAAACTTATTTTTTTATCTCGGCATTTCAAGGGCTTTGCGTGTAATTAGTTTTGATAAATAATACAGTGTATTTAAATTACTGTTATTGTTCGAAATAACTGAGTAGCGTTTCTTTTTATTCTGGCTGCAAAACAAAAGCGATAATACCATTATATTTCTACAATGATGGTTTATCAAGCTAAAATAAATTTAAATTGATATACCATTGTAAAAATCTACCCCAGTCTTTTTAAATAATATTTTTAGCTGAAATGTTATTGTAAAACTGTAATAAACCTGCGAGATATTGCCAATGAAAATAAAGTACCAAATGTATTTTTGGGCGTATTCAGCTACGAAGTTTCCTAAATGATGGCTCCCAGGCATTTTATAGCAATGTCGCTGTTATCGTTGTGTAAAACGATAATATATCATTTATAACTGGTTGTAAAAAATCACTAACTTACAAAGCTTCGAGAATACATACGTTATGCAATTAACAATTTCGAACCTGGTTTGCTCACGTTCTGTGAAATTTATAGCATGCGGTAACCATCTCAGCAACCACGGATTTTGCATTTATTTTACTAACAGATTATTATTTAATACATTTACCCTATATCATCTCGTGGTAAGGTCCCGTAAGAGAAGACAGAGGGAAAAATAATAGGAGGTTGGCAATCCGGCTGCCAAGCGTAACAACTATGGAAAACATCTCCCTTATGAGGCAATCCATGAAGTCTTCTGTTCAGCAGTGGACGTTCATAAGCTGTAATGATGATAATGCTAACGAACATATTCTTCTTCTTTTTAAAGTGCCATCTTCTTTCGAAGGTCGGTGATCATTAAGGCAACTTGGATCTTTGATGCCGCGGCTCTGAATAAGGAACGGGTGCTCTTTCCAAACCATTGGCGTAGGTTTTTCAGCCAAGATGTTCTTCTTCGACCCACACTTCGTTTTCCTTGGATCTTGCCCTGTATGATAAGTTGCAGTAGATCGTATTTTCGGTTTCTCATTATGTGGCCGAGATATTCAAGCTTTCTTTTCTTTACTAAATATACAAATTCTGGTTTTTTTTATGCGACTTAGCACTGTTACGTTCTTTATTTTATCTCTCCAGGATATCCTTAACATTCTCCAGTATACCCACATTTCGAAGGCTTCAATCTTCTTACAGCTCGATTTTGTGAGGGTCTATGCTTCAACGCCATACAAAAGAATGGAGAAAACATAACAGCGTGCTAATCGTACTCGTATCTGGATGTTCAGCTTTTTATTGCACAGAAGTGACTTAAGCTTAAAGAAAGCATTACGGGCTTGTTCTATGCGGCATCTTATTTCAAGACTGTGGTCTCCCGTATCATCAACCCAGCATCCCAAATATTTGTATTTGCCAACTTTTTGTAGAGGCTGTCCATTACATAGTAGAGAAGGGTTAGCAGTTTGGTGTTTTACAAACTGTCATATATTTGGTTTTCCTGGTGTTGATACTGAGGCCATACGCTGAACTAACAGATTGAATTTTATCTTGATTAAAACTACTTTTACGGATTTTATCGCGTTTATTTTACTTTTAATTACTTTTATTTTTAATTTCCGACGTTTCGGGCGCTTTCCAGCACCCATGGTCACGGGGGACTGAGATGACTGACTCCCAATGTCATTGTTAAACCCGGAGTACCTTCAAAAAAAGTAATTAAAAGTAAAATAAACGCGATAAAATCCGTAAAAGTAGTTTTAATCAAGTGTAGTGTTCGCGTAAATATAAGAAATCATTCTGAATTTTATCTATTAGGATCTGCTATACACGAACATATTAATGATATTAGTCACAACGATGAACATAATAATGAGATATATCCAAAGTATGATGTCAGATCTGAATTTTATAGGAAAACTAGATGGACATAGGACGATTCAAATAAACATAGCCTGTTCTGTCAAAAGGAATTAAAGTATCCAGGTACTCTTTTGGAATACGATTCGAAGTATTATTAGGGACGAGGTCCACGGTCGGTAGATGAACAAAGAAAGTTGAAGTTATTAAGAAAGTTCTTTCTCTTCATAGCTGTTTACTATGAAGCCTGTTTAAAAATATTTCAATAACTTATGAAACATCAAGTTACTTAATACAAAATAGTTACAAAAATATTCTAAACTTAATGCATAACTATTCTTTTACGAAATGTAATTGATTTCACATATATATATATATATATATATATATATATATATATATATATATATATATATATATATATATACGTAATATGTATATTAAAATATAATATATTTTCCAATATTTATAAAAATTTTGATTTTAACAAAGAATACTGTATAAATAAAAAAAATTATGGTGCTGTGGCCCCATATTAGATATAATGTCAACGATTTTATCGAGAAGTTTCCTCGATATCGATATTAAAAATTATTGTCTTCCGTTTCATAGAGTAGTAGTAACTACACTAAAAGACTTCGTTCTAATACATGTATAAACTAACAAGACAGAAAGCTAAGGACAAGTTGTTCCAAAAATAAAAAAGAAGTCATGAAAGGGCCCTCTCGCTTTTGAAGTTGCGCTTGCTTTATGTCGCAGAATTAACAGCGTCTACCTGAAACGTCACAAGAAACGAGGCACTAACTAGGTCGGATATAACAGGGTGTCATAAAGGACGTATCAATCTTTACAAATATCTCCATACATTGCTGTGTAATTGGAGACGGAGGAGAATATGGAAAGGAATAACGTAGCCATCATATTGCTGTATGTATTAATGTCTAGAATTTGTGTACTTTAAATAACATTGCGTTTCGTGGATATTGTAAGAGGCCTGCTTGTCTCATTGGACTAATAACGCTCATGCTGATTCATGACGCCGAAGGTTTAAATCCCGGGTCGCGCCAAAAATAAATCAGTTATTGAGTTTTTATGTGAAGAGATGCTCGGTAGCAGCCAAGGGTGAAGAAGTTCGCGGTGTTTCCGTGCAAAACACGTAAAGCAGTTAGTCCTGCGCCTGATCTCTCTCCGGTCGTGTCGGATTGCAATCTCATGGGAGTGGGACTATGAGAGTGAGGAAATAAAGAGTGCATTTGTGCTGGCAATAGGACACTATAATAAATACTATCCTATATATTTATAATACTGTCCTGCGCAAATGGCTAGTGTTCGTTGAGACTGACAACTGTGACTGAAATTCAGCCTGTAAGACAATATTATTACTACTGTAAGTTACAGACAATGGCAAAAGCCAGAAAAAAGTCATGGCTTCTGATAGATACTTGTATAACCATCACGATTGCCCTAGAGAGAAAATACACAGACCAGCGAAGTGGAGCAGCGTCAAAAGTGCGAAACACCTGTCGCTGCGATCGCCAATATACTTGCCATGCGTGGCGATTAACGATAATATAGGTTACAATAAGGGAGGTCCATGTTCACTATTCACTTTGATGAGTTAATGAAGAAGAAGAAAAATATATATATATATACTATATAACATGTGTAACGAAAATTTATTTGAAACGATCACCATGTAGTAGCGGTGTAAATATAAATATTACCCCATCTCGACCCGTGGGTGCCGTAAGAGGCGATAGAGGGAAATAAACTAGACGATAGGCAGTAGTATCTTTCAATAACAATGAAAAAATACTGCCGTTGCCAACCCGTCTGTCAAGCGTGGCAAATATGGCACAAATCCCCCTTATGTACATTGCTTTAGTTATGGGGGAGGACTTTGTTCAGCTGTGGACTTATGATAGGATGTAACGGGTTAAGTGCATATTTTTAAATGATTACGTAAATTTAAAACAAAATATGAAGGATGTAAGAGTTCATAAGAGCTTCTTCTCAATATTCCAACCTCGCGCTCGTGGTACACCAAGGTGCAAGGTAGCAAGCTAGCGAACAAGTAAATTGAAATCAACAATGAGTCATGTAACAATCACATGACTTAGCATTAGGACAAGTCATTCCCATTAATTTTTAAAGTTATTAACGATTTATGGTACTGTATAAATCGTTAACTCTAATAGAAAACGCTGATTAAAAAAGAAACAACTTTACAACATATAGGTATCCTTTTTAGACACAAAAAATAGTACTATATGTATATGTATTTTGCATTTAGCAAAAAATACTGAATCAAAATGAGTACATAATTAAGTTGGGTTAAAAAGTCTTAAATGACGAAAAACAAAAAAAAGTTAATCCGGTAAAATTTCTTAACCCTAGATACCGTAAAGAAAAATATGCTTAGATGCATTAATTTATAAAGTTATAATCGAATACCTACCAAATGAAAATTATTCATAAACCTACATTATTAATTTATTATGTGTCAGTAAGCTTCGATATCAAAATATGAAGGATATGTCTTGCGCTCCATGTTAAATAGTCATTATTATCGTACTCTTGAGCATCCTAGTATATTACTGTAAGTTTTCAGGCTATTTATAGGATAGGGTGAGCGTTGCTACGTGTGCTCGTAAAAATAAAACTTGAATTTAAATAAAACCTGTTTTGAACTATGTTAAGTGATTGCTGTGTTACATAAAACTATCCAATCTTGTTCCGTATTATTTTAGATGTTGTTTGCTGTCTGCATACTAGCTGGCTGTATAAAGTAGTGTCAATTTTTAATGTCAAATATTTACTTTATTGACGTGAATACAGAAGAACTCACTCGCTTTAATCCGTTATGTGCTATTAATTTATTTTAGTTTTTCTGCCATAGGAAGTTAACGGTTTTCCCCCCTGTGTAGGCTTTTCCTCTGTGCTTTCAATTATGCTGCTAGTTTATCACGTGCAATAATAAAAAAATTGTGGAGAAGGTCGATAATAAATTATTATTATTCATAAATGTCGTCTAACTAGGTTTCAACTAGGCTAATATATTTTGTTGTCAGTGCAATTGCTTTCATGAAAAGTTTAAATAAAGAAAGAATATTATCTTTACAGTCTTTTAAAAAACTACTTAAGGAGTATTTTTTGAAGTTCCCGTCATAACAATAAATTATACCTATTTCCCGTAGACAGAGAAACTTATAGACGAATGATTAGCGTCACCTAGAGTGAGAAAAGACGATAACGTAGTTTTAGGTTATACAATAATCTTTACGACTTTTAGACATATTTAGATAAAAATTTTAATTGTTCTAAGAACTGAACTGAATAATATTCACCAATCTTAAGCTCACAAAACACTTTTTTTCTCACTTAAATCAACTTGTAAACTCCTTAGATCGCTACGAACTGTCAAAGTTGTTTGTCCCTTTCTCCGTGCCAGTTTTTTTGTTTAGCAAACTACACTTTGCTAAACAAAAAAAACTGGCACGGAGAAAGGGACAAACAATCACACCGCTCCGT